ATTTTAAGAGGCATGTTGAAGCTGATACAAAAATAATTTATGGACAAACAGTGACCCACCCAACAATAAAGTAATAGCAGCACAACATATTTTGTCTAAAGGTGTACAAATGTTATCACAAGTTAAATCTAAGGATTTCAAAATAATGTATAATAAAATATAAAAGATTTATATTCCCCCCCACCCACAGATATCTGAAACTGTGACTTCCCTAAAAGTACACACTGCCTCAATTGATTTGAATTTATCAACAAAACTTAGTTCTGTTCATCAATAGAAATAAGAGACTTTCCACTCAATGATAATTTCCAATTTCTTTTATAACAAATGCAGGTATTAAACGTACTTTATTATAGAAAATAAGATTTTAAACAAGAATATAAAAACAAATTAATGTAAAACAAGTTTTAGACCCTGTCTGCTACGCAATAGATAACGAAGGCACTTCACTGGTTTGAAAGACAGACAGATGTCCTGTCTGAATATACTACAATGAAAAGAGAAACTTCAATCAAAATTCTGATCAAAATTTTCAATAATCTCTTCTGACATAATGAATTTTGGTTTTAATGTCATAAATTTCCATTTATATATTTACATTTATTTACGTTTGAGTATTCAGCAATTAGAATGCTCAAACCTGAAAAGAGGGAAATTATGGCAGACACCATTTAAGAAATATACGTCTGTGATATTGTGAAATGAAACTGGAAGATCTCTCGTGAAAACCAATGTTTTTTCATGTTGATATTTTTTAAATAGTGAATCTCTTAATTCTTTTTTACCAAGATTTCACTCAAGAAATAAACATATTGGAAATGTAAAATCTCAAACGCACATTAATTTGTAGAGTACATGAATTTAATCCTTCATTTACAATAAAGATCTACAACCTATTTGTTTCGATAACTGTTCTCTATATATATCCAAAAGGGATATTCCATTCACATTTTCTGTCATTAACGAAGAAATAATAATTTGAGGAATTGGAGTAAAATATATCAACCACTTAGAGAGAGAGATTGTTACATTCAAACTCCTGAGATCCATTTTACGAGAATCTCAAACCCCCCCCCACATTACAAATTAATTTTTGCAGACAATTTTTGCATTCAATTCGTGGTAGCTTAGTTGCTTTAACATGCTGAATGATACTGCCCAAGGTAGGTGATAAATCCCAAAGATTTTTGCATCGCCCATTACCTCAAATTCATGAATAATTTGATTATGAAAATCTCATTTAAATTACTGATAATGGAAAGATTGCACTGACACTAAAATAAAACAATAAAAAGGTGACTAGAAATCATTTCCATATTTAGGAGTTTCAATGGAAACTGGAAATATTCTTAAAAATTTTCACCAACCATACATTTTCACATTTCCTCCAGATTCTTCAACTTCAAGAAATAAAGATCTTTTACTACAACCCTCATAAAATATTTCATTATTTTCATAAACATACCTCACTCATCTTTTCATAAACCGAAGCAGGTGAACACTTTGGTGGCAACAAAAAATAATTTTTTGCACCAATTCTAAACTTGGTTAACTCTCATGTGAGGTCTATCTATATATACAAAGAGTTTCATGTTACTTCAACAGATTTCAAATGATTGGTCAATATTAAAGATTTAAATCCCACTACAAAATTTGAACATGTATGTTACCACATTTCCAACCCAAACATGCATACACACTTTGTTACCACATTTCCAAACCAAAGAATCAGAAAAGTTCACAATTGTATATAGAACTATTCACAAGTTTAATATAAACTCTAAACAAAGTCAAATAATCAAGAAAAATGTGAATGGAGTCTGGACGAGATTAAACTAAAAAACAAACTGCAGAAAAAAATGATCAGAATTTCAATGAATTCCTCCATTTTAGCAGTATCAAGTTTCAGAAATATTAATACAAGTTATTATTGCCCATTAGGATTAGCTTGCTCACATGAGCTTAATGTACAATACACAGGTACAAAAGGTATGTATATATGCATGTATATATATATACATTTAAGGCTAATACAATACTGGAATGCTACTAGCACAAAATTACTTTTGTTCCCCAGAACAAGCAGAACCCACGTAAGTGTATTCACCTATTTATGATTCCCATTATAAAAATGAACCTTTAAAACTGTATATGCAAATGAATGAGCCAAAAGCCTTAAACTTAAACTAATACAAAATGTTACTAATATACTTTCACTAGTTTATTATGTGTAATAAAGCTCACAGTCTTAAAAATCACTCAAAAAAATTGTTTTGGAGTATCGTTTCAGAAATCTGCTGTCCTGATAGTTCTTAAATAACAGCAATTTCAATCAAGACATCATTTGAAGTAAAATACTCCAAGAAAAATCTCATAGAAAAAAGGGAGAACATGAGTTACCTTCATGACTCACTCCTAAGGTTAAGACCAAAAAAAAATGAGCAAAATGTTAATATGTGTAAAGAACAAAATGAAAAGGACACAATTTTTAACACAATAAAAATTCCAGACTATTCATCAAATATAATATATATTTAAAATTTGTACTTGAACTGACTATAAAGAAAAAAAAGCAATAAATTCATGCAAATGGACATATACCAAAGTGAATAATACATTAACTACCAGACCTTAATCAGTCAATGAACAAATTAACAAATTTACATTTCACATATACAGAGTGAAATTAATAGTTAGAGGCCATCCCTAATATTAACTGGTCATATGCATTACTTCCAATTCAAATGTGGGTGCTAAGTTAACAATTGCACATGCATTCATATCTTACTATCTTGAAATAGTTCCTATCACTCATCACCATGAAAATTAGTAATGACAGATCAAATTACATCTAATATGTATGAAGTAATTATATCAAACAATGTAATTTGGCACTTCAGAAAACCTGTACACAAGTTTAATCCACAAATAAATGATACTGCAGAAGTATAACTACTGGATATGTTATTGAATTGAGTTAAAAAATATTAATGCCCCAGTGCACGAGAAGTAATTCAAACAAATTACTAATAAAACACCTATTATTCTCTAGCTATTCAAAATCTACTTTTGTGCATCAAGGTAACAGCAAAGTTAAAAATAAAATTAAAGCATATTAATAATCAAGGGATGACCTCTTAACATCGTTTACACAAAGTCTCGAATGCAGTGTTGTATTGCAAATTATATCTTTTAAAAGCTATTTTGGAAGGCTTGGAATGCTTTAAAATTAACAGTATTGGTGATACACATGAAAGTACCATAGCAACACAAAGTACATTGTGTTACAAGCTTTTTTTTTTTCTTTTTTTTTTTACATTTTACATTTTTTATAAGAAATCTAATCTACTGTCAAGGTATATTGCACAACAGCATTAGAATGACAGAAAAGAGAAAAACTCTCCAAATACAGGAAAAACAAAAAATTTCACAACCATTTTATATTGTAGTTTACAAGTTTATATGGTAGAACTGACAGCTGCAACTGCCAACTGATATGTTACATGAACATCTACGAACATACACATACCACTGAAATAAGATAAAATTCAATAACGAGTATGGGCTACTTGACATCGTTTGCAATAAACACATTAATACAAATGCCCTAAGTTGGAAAGACAAAAATAAAAATTTGGCGCTAGGTTGCTATTAACAACCATGTGGGTCTTGTAATCACAAGTAATTATTCATTTACACTAGGAACTGTTGAAAAATTGTCAAGTGCAAGGCCAAGAAAGCCTTGTGTGCAGTTTTAGAAAAATGTAGACAAACAAGAAACTTCAACTTCTTCTCAAGTAAGCAAAAGAAAAATACAGACCAAAAAAAATCCACAGGGTAGAAAATCAAAACAATATATTTTCATTTGCTCAACTGTACACAAAACATTTCATTCAATTTATAAATTATTGCTCCAAATTCTTCCAGTGCAACATTCACCTTCAATGCAGCAACAGAAGGCATCAATAACATCTATACGCACTCTACTGTCCTCCCATCAATGAGGATTTCTGTTAAAACTACTAGTCCAATAGGCACCAAAAAAATAATAACAGGGGAACACTCACCAAATAATTTGTAAACAGGTACAACAATGTGACTACAGAGTGCAAAGTTCATACAATAACAACCACACATCTTACTTCTGTGAATTTGTTACAGATCAGTTGGCAGAATGTTTGCTGCTATGCCACATAACTGTGACAACAAAATGTCATTTGCTTCAAAGAATAAGCTATTTGTTTCATAAACCATTTACAATCCTATTACTATTAGTAAACATTTGTCAATCCCATAAAATACATTTCAATTTTTGTTTTTTACGTTTTTTATTCAAGATGAAGTAACAGTAAACTGTCACAGAAAAACTGATACATTTATTGGAAAAATAAAAATCTGAGGAAATGCTTCACAGCATGAACTGAATAACACCAACTCTAATTTAACAATGCATAAACCTTCACAATTCATGAGAACAGTTGGCTTTTTACATCCAGAACACTGTGTTGTTCCCCAGATTACATTATCCTTCCTAATTGTTTTAACAGCCATTTTTAAAGAACACAATATTTTCATAAAATTAAATATTAACATTAAAAAACAACAAAATATGAAACTATGAATACACAAAAGTGAATAAAAAGCATGAAATAAAAATAATACAGAACATATATATATTAACATTTAATTTTTCAACCTGTCTTTCTGCATGGTTAACTACTTCTGAAGGAAATAACAAAATTAGACATATATGAGGATAATCTATACTAATAAAAAATAAAACAAAAAGTCAATAAAATTGGAACAAGAGATAAGTAAAAAATCTGGTTTAAAAGGAAATGCCATACACTGACATGTCACATTAACAATGAATATTTTTAGCTACGTGTCTTAGCAACTAGGAAGACAAAACAGGCTGTTTAGTTTAACAACCACAACGCTAGATACGTAGTTGGTGTGACAACAGTCAACACCTCCAACACTAACTTGAGAGTGCAATAGCACTCAAATTTACTGTCTAATGTAGGTGTTCCCACATAAGACTGTGTTGTGTTAAGCGTACTAACTTAAGGGAAGAGACTGACAGCCATATGCACCGAAATGATATCCATGAAAACAGTTCATCTCAAGCAATAATTGATGGCAAAACTTTATACATTTATCTATATATACTGAAGTTAACACCAAAGCTCTGAAATTTGTAATGAATTTCAAGAAGTAACACAATTCAAGTCTTGTCATAACATTGAAGTTGAAATGTAGCCATGAAACCTTTTCATACACTTGGAAAATCAATTATCCAGTGATTAGTGCTCAAGACACCATGGCTCTCAGTGCAAATGGCTGTGTGACATGAGAAAAGCACATAGGGCAGGTGTGCTCAATGCCTTTCTCACGTGAATTTGGTATCACAACAGACATGACCTTCGTGCTCTTCACATCAGAAAGTGACAATGCTAGGAACTAGGAGCAATTATAACACCACTTGCCAAATCGGAATTCTTATGTTAACACAAAAATTCTTGTGAACAAAATATGCAACGCGAAATCTTTACTAACTAAAGCACCAAGATTCTCTTAAGAAAATTTTGATGTTCCGATTCATCACATGTGAAGAATATGTAACATTGCAGCCAGTTCCTGCTATGGATGGAATGATATATGACAAGATTTCATACAAATATTTATAGAGACTTATAACTTTTTCTGTTTCAATACTGACAAAACTAACAACACTTATTGCTAGTGAATTTTGGTGGGAAGAAAAAAAATTTTCAATAACATTTAGTTGCATCACTTATTACAGTATTGATGTAACCCATGGATCAGAAAATTGCATTAAATTATTGTTTCATGTAAATTTCATATAGTTTTTTTTTTTTCCTTTTTTTGCCATTTGTATAATGCATAGGGTGGAAATAACCTTCTTTCACAGTTACTATCTAAAAAAGACAACACATTTTTGTACACATTGAAAAAGACTTGCGTGATTTGTAAAAATCATCAAAAATTCTATCACAATTACCACAATATATATTTTTTGTAATTATCTTTATCTATCGAGGTAAATCATAGGGGTTTAAAATGAAGGTTAGGCATCACTCCTAACTGACTGAACAGTTTTAAATTATTAGTTTGGTGATATTAAAAATTTAGGAGTGATGTCCAACCGTTAAGGTCAAAAAGTTGTGTAAATATATTTATATACTCAAAACATGTATAAGATTCTGAGCAGGTTTTTATATATATATATAATATATGTATATCAATAAGAGAGAGTGTGTGTGTAAAATTTTGTTGCTTCACATAAGGCAAATAACAAAAATATACTGACATTTGTTATCAACAATCAAGTATTCCCTCAAACAAATTGAACAATATTAACATCTCCATTGGTAATTTTGATTCTTACCCAGTATCTCGATTTTTAAGAAAACACCACAACATGAATTTCAAAGGAAACAAGCATCATCTTCCACTCACAACAGCATTGTTCCCTCCCCAAAGAAAGGAGAACACACAGTAGACACATGAAATTTTCTCCTACTAGATATTAAGCTTAGCATTCCTTAAAAATTCTCTTTTTTATAGAAATATTACAATTATTTTTAACTTACTCTATAAGTTTGCCACTAGTAAATATAGGCAGCTTACGATAAAATAACGAGATACTAAGGTCACAACTGATCCTGAAGATACTATTATCACAGGCATGTTTTTTTTATTAAATGGTTTTCTTTAGTATTTTCTTATTAAAAGTCCACTGAGAAATAATGAAAGAAGTTCACGCTTTTAAAACATGATGAGAACAAGAACAGAAGTTGTCATTCTTCAGATTTTTTAATGTTGAAATTCACCTAATACTTAGAAACTGATGTTAAGGCAAATGCAATGTAAAACTGGATACACACATTGCTACAACAAACACCTCAATTTGCATACATGATTATATTTAAGGGTTATATTATATTATTATAAGAACCCCCACCCCATCATAATAGAATTCAAAGTGTGATATTCAACCTACTAAAAATGTAATAACAAATACTCAAAATGAGTTATTGTCTTTTAGTTGATTCGCTGTCTGGGATAATGAAAAGCAGTGTTGAAACAGTTAAGGCATGTAAAATCGTTTCAAGTCAGTTATTAACAAAATAATGTAGAGAAAGCAAACACAAAATAAAGACCTTCTTGCAGACTATCGACACCTTTATCATGTATGCAAATTGACAAGCATGTTATGAACCATTTACCTACAAATTTCACTTCTATCAACAACCATACATGAAAAGTTTCCATAACAATTGCAAAAGAATACAAAGTTATCTGGAAAGAAATATTTGATATATTGACTCCCTGATATGGTAATTTCACTGGTATTTTGCAATATATATCAAACAGATCAATAAATAAACTTCCAAACCACAGTATTTTAACAGATATTTCATAATTTAATAAGATATGTGAATATCTGAGTGGAATTTTATTCCTAAACATTCTCAGATATTCATTCCATAATGCACAAGTCAACATTTATTGATGGAAACTCATTATGGTTGTGGAGGAGTACCGCATTCAAAATTTAGGTATAAAACTCTGAGCACAAGGCAAGTATGACTAAATGGATCTAATGATTGCCATCTTTGTTTAGTCTACACATTCAACATAAACTAGCATTTTACAATGAAACATGATAATTGAAAGATGTCATTTCTTTGGTGGTCTTAAAAGTAAAAAAACATTGGTGTTGGCTATGTGACTGGACAAATTTCACCTAACCATACAGGCACTTAAAAACAGTAAATTGAAAAAAAAAAAAAGAAAAAGAAAGAACATTAACACAAGACATTTGTGCAATCAAAACGGCACAAAGAGAAGAGTGAGAGCACACTAGTTTTTTTGTCTTGTCTGCTAATACTTTTTTTGTAAAGAAATTTCCACATTTTTAATAGACAAAAATAACATTGCTATCACTTAAGTCTTCTACACTACAGTAAAATATCCAGCTATATCTTACAACATGACTTGAAATAATTTGACACAATCTCTCTGATTACAAATCATTCATACGAATAAAAAGAAGGGAAAGACAGTTTTGAGAACAGGAAGTAACTATCAACAATCAGATAATAATGGCACTGTAAAACACACAATTGAGATAATACAAGCATGGCTCCTGTCACTCAGTTCCAGGCGAATTACATGAGCTTCACAATTACAAAATCAAACTTACTAGTACACTTAATTAAGAGTTAGAACAGTACAACAGGACACTTACTGGAGACATAAAGGAGCCATGACCTGAGTAAGTATTGTAGATATTAGTTACATAAAATATGTTCACACACTGCCAGTACATGACACTCTCACATTCATTCACATGAAAAACAAAAACAAAAATCAATAAAAATTCAACCCCACATTCACAAGCATAAACATTTACAATTAGGAACCATGAAACTGCTGCTACGTAATAATATAAACATAATTTAGTTTTTTAAAAATATTTAACAAATATAAAATTATTGGTGTAAATATAACCTCAGTACTTGCTGTTTGGATAATTTGCTAAATGCATTTCTCATTTTTAAAATATAGATTAAAATAAAATAAATTCTTCATCTAGGCTAAATAGTTAATCTTGCCATATATGAAGAGAATTCTTTAGAAAAAAATATTTTATAGCCTATAAGGGCACGAACTGCTTAAAACATACGACAGTACTGAAATGACTATGTGAAGTAGAACATAATATGCACTGTACACTTGCGAGATCTGCTAGAGTTGAAGTGATTTCCACTCTCATCTGCGGCTGCAAATTTTAACTATAGTACGTACGTATTTAGATGGGCTGATTTCTAACCCTTGAATTCATCTTGCCTTCCTCGAGTTTCATGCTCAGCTCACATGATGTAAAGAGTATTGAGAACCAACACATGATGATTGTTCTTTGCCAAAGTGACAACATATCCCTCTGAGGTGATCTTTAGGCCACAGCAACGAGACACCTACACAGAAAAATTATGTAAGATATATATAAGTGCTGAGAAGTTCAAAGTTATTTCCAACTTTTTTTCAATGGAATAGTCTTCATAAAGATATGCATTCATTGTCTTCCTTTGCATACCATTAATATATTGTGTAATAAAAAAACTATAATAAACTTTATCAAGTATACCACAAGTACTAAGATTGGGTTTTACATAAACAGTAAAACAAGTTTAAAAGGCATCATTTTTAAATTTATCAGATATTCGCTTATGGGCTTTCTTTTGCTAGTTTAAGATGAAAAAAATAAGAACATTTTGTCACATGATCTGATCCACAAATGCAGTTTTAAGGTTATGACTTATTTTACATCAAAACAGCAGAAAAACTTTGGATAAGTCCAAAGGGCAAAATTTCCATCAACTACTTATTTTTATAACACCCTTAGTTAATATTAAATTGTTTCAGCTCTGAAATATACATTATTATTATTTTTCTACCCCCATATTGCTTCTAAATCTTTCTAAACAAAATTAGTCACACAGCACCACTGCTAAGGTCTGCAATGGACCATGGCATAGTTTCTCCCTCCCTCTATCTTTGTTTAGGAAAGAGGTTCCGTTTCATTTAGGACTTTCAATTTTAGAACATTTCCTATCCCTAAGTGATAGCCTGATTTTTGACACTTATCGGATGTACACAAATGCCATGTCACGAATGTCTCCATACGTAATTGCTTTCCTCCAGCAATTTGATGTTTATATACCAACTTTTATGAAGCATGATCTCCATTTTAAATGACAAATTCAAATCAATGAAAAAATAATAATTACCTTGACATAAGGGCACTCAAATTCTGAAAGAAGTGACCCATCTCTTGAAAAGACAGCAACATGGAAACGATTTCCGTGTGAATCTCCTACCAATACATCTCCTGCATCTGATATGTCTATCCCATTGGGAAAATTGGTGATGCTTTCACAGCCAATGCGGCGCAGAAACTGACCTTCTTCGTTGAACACAACTACACAATGACCTTTGAAGTCACATACGAAGTATTCCTTACCTGCAATTGCAATAAATAGCATGTCAATTTCTGTCATGAAAGTCATTAAGTAATTAATTAGAATATAAAATCGCACAATTACCGCTAATAGCAATATCAGATGGTTCTCTCATGTAATCGCTGCAGTCAAACCAACGAAGCAAGTCTCCACTTTCTGAGATAACAAACACCGTAGGTGAAACACTATCCACAGCCACAATGTGGCCTTGGGAAGTCACTGCTAACCCAGCAACAATGTCTATGTACCTACAACAAAAAAATTAATAAATAAAAAAAATAGTATATTGAAGTTAAAAAATAAATAACAATAAAATAATGGCATTAATCAACTACCTGATGGCAATTTTTTTAATGAAATGTCCATTTTTTGTAAATATTTGCATGCGAGAACGTTCATTGCCACGATCACAGACAACAAATTTGCCAGAGTTTCTCATAACAGCAACTTTGCGAGGGTACCAAAGCTGTCCTTCCTCTTTCCCAGGAATTCCAAACTGGAACTTGAAAGTCCCAGTCTTTTCAAACACCTAAAGTGAACAAACAAGGGAATAAAAGTATATTCACAGAAAGATAGAGGGATGAAATGCAATAGAAACTAGAAATAAAAGAAGGTAAGAAATGCTTTTCAATTTTTTTGTGCAACATCAACATTTTAGCACAAAATTACATTGAATGTGAAAATTACCACATCATTCTCATGTTCATAGTATTTGAATATTAATATTAACATGAGATAGCAACACAAGTTGAAAGGAAACAAATAATAAATGCATAAATATAATTATGTAAATTGAAAGGTACTTGGGAGTTATAAGTAATGCCACCGCAGGGTGGCCACTTTTTATGGAACAAATTTCCTCAACTTCCTGATTTATTAGCAATGTTTTCCTGATAAAGTTAGGTAGGCATTTCATTCTATTAAGAAAATATTTTTAGAAAACAAAAACTAAGGTATCTATAACCAAATTGTCAGCAATGATTTTGTTGTGAAAACTAGAAATTAAAAAGTTCTTGCTTCAAAAACAAACAAAAACATCATACCAGAATTCTTACTGAATGATTCTTCTACTATTTCTCTCATTTTCCCCACACCTTACTACATCCATGAAATTCCCAACTTTCCTTATTTTACCAAACAACGGCCACACTGATTTTTATTAATATGTATACTCTGACAAATACCCTCCAGACCATCAAAGTTACAGAACCCAATTTTAGAGAAAACTACTTTGTAGCTATGTGCAACTATTTCTCCTTCTGAAACCAATAAAGCAATACTAATAAACAGTGACGAATGAACGAATGTAGTGTTATATTGAATTTTTGAAAATTTAAAGATTTTTTTACAAATTTTAGGTTTGTAGGTTTTTTTCTCATAAATTTATGATCACCCCATTCTTCTCAAATATTAATTGAGTAGCATGAAAGAGCAAAAGCTCAATTCTGACAGTAAATTTGCAGCTGCTGCTAGAATGAACAGAAGTTTGGAATCAGACAGGCAAGTACCTACCTGAATACGATGATTGTTGGTGTCAGCAACGATTATGTCTTCCTCAATTCCCAGGCAAAAACCATGAGGGGAGTTGAATTGTCCCTTGCTAGGTCCTAATTGGCCATACTTGCACCGTATCTGCATTGGAGTTAATTTGCTCGATGAAGCCCGAGGATGGTGAAAAGTATTAGTGGGGCCTCCACCTCCTACACCTATGATAGGAATATTATGAAGTCCTTCACCTAGAAGTTCATCTGTTGAGAACAGTGACAATAGATTACAAAATATAAATACATAATTTAGAAGGCAACACAACTGGAAAGAAATATACCTGGCTGTGATAATATTGGAGAGGGAGAACCCGAGAGAGATCGGTAAGCCCCTCCATTCAGTGTGGCAATAGTGGTAGATATCTCCAAGCTCGGTGATGATCCACGCCCCAATACCAGATTGGCACCAGCAGGCGGTGGAGCACCATTAAGAGAACCATTGGCTAAATCTGAGCAATTAGAATGTTCAAATGAATTCAGAGTTCATTTTGAATTAGAATTTTGTTAAGTGCAAACCATTCAAATGTTAAGATTCAAAAACAATTTAACAAACCTGTGTTGTTTAAAGAAACTCCACCTAATTTTGCCAGAGCCTGGAGGTTATTGAGAGCATTATTAGCAGAACTAATGTCTCCTGAGAAGAGATCTGCCAAAGTAAATGAAGGTGTTGGACTAGGATTTGAACTGGGAGGCGGATGAGGGGGTGGCACACCCATCACAGGGGAGCTCACAGGTTCTTTCTCAGCCAAACTAGCCAACTGCTGCAAATTGTATTCCTGGATGCTGGTAAGACCATGCAAAGTGGTGGGGGGAAGTGGGGCTGCCACTGCAGGAGTTTCTGAATTCAAAACACCTGTTGGTATTGTGAAACTTGGGCCCACGTTACTAGCAAGTTCTCCTTCGAACGAAGACTGCATAGAAGTTGGAAGAGAAACAGGACTACTAGTTGTGGTTACAGTACTAGGGCAACCATTTGTAGTACTTATATTAGGGACACTAATAATATCATTAAGTTTTATGGATCCAACATTGGGAAGTGTGGGAGGAGATGAGCTTTCTTTAGGTGTTGTCACAGCTTCAGCACGAAATGAGCCAAATGTAGCCTAAAACAAAATAAACCGGTGTATTTTCACTCATCTACGCAATATTACTCAAATACTTTTAAAAGTAAATCTATAGCAATAAAAATGATTGAATTATATACTTATGGAAGAGGAACAAAAAACAAAACAACAACAAATCATGCTAATTGTCTCTAACAAATGATGTTATTTGGAAAGCTTTTGCCTAGAGACTAATCAAATTATTTTGTTTAATTATAATTTCCACTTAGGTTTTACAATTTACATCTTTACAATTAGGCAAAAAGGAAACTTACCTTCACAGCACTTTCAAATTTCTTCATATCTGTATCAAATTCAATAGTGGTATTCACATCAGGTTTAGGAGTGTTATTTATAAGATACAATAATTGTGCTCCAGCCACTTGTTTCAGGGAGAGCACTTCAACAGTGTTGCCATGCTCCAGAAGACGAGATGTAAATTTGCAGGCATCATCTATTTTTTCCATTGTTTTTTCAACACTATAAAGTTACATAGCATTGTAGAAAACATGGCATACAGAATTACAGACATTAATAGGTAAAATAACATTAGAACAACAATCTTTTTAACTAAACCACAACAACCTATGATACAAAACTGTCAAGAAATAATCATGATCAGGATGATTGGCTTTGCTCACCTGTTGCACACAAAAAATCCTTTTTTAAGCCAACACCTTTTTTATTAAAGTTTTTCAAGGCATTTTTCCTTCTTAACAAAACATACAGATACTTGCCTGTGGAAAGTGTCCATTATTTTTAATTCTCGTTTAGAATGTATTTGTTGCAACTCTTCAAGAATATCATCCCGACATTTTTCAAGCACAGCCTTATAGCTCTGGAATGTCTCCTGAATAAGATCTCGAGCATTATCATGCTGTTGCTGCAATTCACTTAAAGCATTTTCCAAATGGTTTGAAGCATTCTCACAGAATTCCACTTTGGATTTACTTTCAGACATTAGATTTTTCAATTCCTCACGCTGATGTTCCTCTGCTTCAGCTAGGTGCTCATAGTGGTGCTCTGGGGCTTTGTGTTCATTTAACAAGCAGCTGTTGCAGACAGGAATCTGAAATCAAACCATTTCATTTCATGTCCGATTTTCTCTTTAAAAAAATTCCCTTGATCAGTTCGATACAAGCACAAAACTGCATATTACCCCAAAAATTGACAGACCTCAATTCAGAGAATATCTTTACATGGAACTTCCAAACAAATACAGTAAAACCCCTCTTTCACTTTTCATGGGACCATTGGGAAAACGGTGTAAGATGCTAGAGGTGTACATAAAGGGAAGTGTTATTTCCCTTCAAAACTGAGTATCAAGTATTCAGACACATACAAACAATAAGCTTTAATATGCAGAATTGGATGACATTGAAAACCGCAATATTCCTATTTACACCCAAATATAGTGAATTTTAAATCTCCAACTCACACAAGTTTCCATCATCCAATGATGGAAGCCATTGATGAAGCAAACAATGTTCTCATTGTTGGTGAAAAGAGGACAATGGTATTTCTACTACTAGAAAAAATTTGTAATGTACATACTCCCTAACGCAATAAAAAGTTTGTTTTTGGCAGTGTGTAATGATTTCCGACTAGTACATTTCATAATTTCTTTGGTTTCAAAAATAATAGTGGGTTCACAAAACGAAGTCAAAAACGTATGGAAAATCTCATACGTTAGGCTATTAACTCTTGTACGTTGTTTTAATAAAAAATACATAAACTCCATACGGGGTCATACGTGACACTGGCAAGTAATTGCATTTTCCATTTCTTTTAAAATTATCTTCCATGTTTAAATCAAATGTTATCAATTCAGTGACTCGAAAGATACAAATTTTCAACTTTTGCCCGTTATTTTTATTATTGCAAAACAGTATTAATTAAAAAGAAGAAAAGTTGAATGAATATTTTTGGCAAACGTAGACTTAATTTTTTCTCTCTTTTCTCTGAGAATGATCAATTACATTTACTTCACATTATTTTTCGGTCATATGATCATTGCACATGAATTCATCACTGTCATAGTATACTTGATTAGTTTTTCTATTCATGTTTAAAGCACATGTAAATCTCTTTGTTCTGTCAAACGTTTTCATTCAGATTCAATCGATGGTGAAATCCACTTGAAACTACTGCACATCTTATAGTGTTAGCTTTCCTGAGCAGATTCTGTAATCTCTATTTGATATTGTGTTCTGCGATTTCCTTACCAAGGATTATCAGAAACTGTCTCTGTGCGCTCTTCTTTGTTATGTGAAGATCGTGTGTTTTGGGACAGAACATAAGTATAGATTGTTGCCATATCTATCATTTTGTAAAATATTGCAAGAGGCCATCTCTCTGTGGCACGTGTTGTAGAATATGGCCTTGCCTTCATGACAACAGTGACAACTCTTCATTTCGTGCTATTGGAGAACAAAATTACATCTGGCTTTTTCTGTTCATCTGCACTGATGTCAAATGTTTCATGAAGTGTGGAAATTTGAAGAAGTGTTTCATGAATGACTGTTATAATATTTTTTGGGGACGTGTGACAGCAAGACTGTGTTTGAGGTAATTCCCGAAACGCTTAAATACTCTTCTCTAGACCTACATGGAAGCATATCTTTTGATATTTCACCACAATTGGATCCATGTGCCTACAAGAGTAAGGTTTTGTTTCTCAAGCTCATAGCACACGGAAAGAAGAAAAGAAAAAACAAAAAACAGATATGATATATTTTCCGTTACCATTCAAGTGATCAATAATGTCATGAACATTTGAGTCAAATTAAAAACCAAAATTAGATACAAAAATGAATTGTTATGTTTATTGGACATTAAAATGGCCCAGAATAACATATATATAGATTGTAAATATTTTAGAAACAAAATTACACGAAATTCAACTTTTATATTACTGGTGGGGTCAGAAAAGCCCAAACAAAATACAAGGGTTAAAGGATGGGGAAAACGTATGTTTATTTTAGAATGAGGAAGGGTGAAATCATGAAGGAGAATGATATAAAATAAACAAATGATTGTAAGGCTACCTCTCTCATACACTCCTAGCAAAGAATGTACATCATATATTCTACCTTTTTAAATATCGCAGGGCCATAAAATGAAAATGTAAATAAGGTGCTAAATAATGGTTTTCATTGTATTTAAATTTTCTGGTCTTAATGTAACATTTCATAAAACTATTATATCACACCATTTCAGTAGTCTCATAGCCATGTACTCGAAAGTGCAATGACAGTGTGTGTTGTGTGAGAAGTGCTTTCCAGGTAGCGATGTGGCAAGCAGACTTGTAAACTGCAGGAAAATTGAAATTATACAAACATACAAGTAGGGTTTTTAAAATGTGAATATACGAAAACGGGATCGACAAAAAAGAATGTAAATGCTGGGAAATCATAAATTGCAGCAATCTAATGGTGCATAAATTGCAGCAATCTAATCATGATCAATATGCTAAATACTTAATTTCTAAAAAGATTTTAATGTGCCTAAAATGAAGCCTGAATTCAAAAACAAATACAATGGGATGTCAATTACTCATTTCCCCAACTTTTATTCCCCTTCACTGTCACAACATCTGGGTAAATTTTATGAAATAACTCATCTGATTATTTTTACTTTTTCGCACACTGCTTACACTGTATAGTGCTGTAATGGTGTGAGGAGAAAAAACAAGATTTTTCGACAGAAAAACTCATTACAGAGTCCTGGTAACAAAAAACAGCTGTATTACTTAGAAATACAATTGGAATGCTGCAATCCAGCAGTTTGAAATTCTCAGAACTTGAGAGTGAAATTCTCAGAATAACGGAGACAGGAGGTTCCGGGTTTGATTCCTGTAGAACCTCACGTGAAATTTGTTACGGCAAAACGAGTTTGCATGCTTCACAGGGGCAAGTCTAACCCTTGTGAAGTGTCCTAAACCCTACCCCAATCCTAATTCCTTCCCAATTGTGGTCGTTGAGCAGTGACGCAGGGGCTTGTAGTAGAAGGCGCATACGCGGAAATGCTACTTGGCGGTCTTCTTGACAACTGACAGCACCGAGACGTGATGTGACGGATGACATACTATTAATGGTAGATTACTCCCTCGCTGATAAATAGAGGATTATTCTGAAAGAGCAAAGCGTTTAACGTCCCCAAGGCTTAGAGATGCGTTGCATCAATTGAAGACCACAAATTTTTTAAAAATCTCATTGTTCGGCTGTGTTTGAGGGTGTATGGAATGTAGTTTTGGATTGCCCATTACCTTTAAATGAATTGAATTTTTACACCTGGTGCTATGACTGGAAATTAGTTTTACAAGTAATGGCTGAGATAAGGCTAATATAAGCAGAAATTGGGTATTATAATTTTATGTAACTCTTACTGATGCAAGAAAGACCATGCTGTCATAGCACCACTAGTGATTTTCTCTCTGCCTATTCATAAGAACAATGTGAATTTGGGCATGACAACTTTCTCTGTACACTGATTTCCTCCATTGAACCAAATCTCTGATAAGCCCATGGAACTCTTGTGAATCCTGGTAATGCAAATCAAGGAGGCAAGATTAACTGATGAGCCCACAACCAAGTAGAAACAAACAAATAATTCAGATGACAATATTTCTCTTTTCCTACATGACAAGTTTGACTGAGGATTTGATGTCAGAGGAAAATAAAACTACTTGCAAATTGGATGATATGCTAAGATGAAAAATAAAAGTGGAATTATGACCACAAAACATGCTGTGTATGTCAAGATTCCCAGAGAAGGGTATGCAAGTCACATACATTATTTTTCTTCCTTTCTTTGCACACTGTATGATTATTAGTAACAAATATACATAGGAATTGTCAAATCAACATTCTCAATAAATTATATTAAACATTAAAATTAACCCAAAAATCAAAATATATTCAAATAGTAACATATTGTTTTTAAATAAAAATTAGTAATACATGCAAAGTAAAATCTTTTGCCCATTCCAATGTGTTTTTTTGAAAATACAGTAAGATCTGTCTAAGCCAGGATAGTCAATCAGGACAAAAAAACCCTTGTGATACTTCCATTCTGAAAATAGTAAACTACATGACTATTGTGAACAAATTGCTGGAGAGCTATCACACTGATAGAAAGCAAAAAGTTAAAGTTGATGATGATTATTATTATTATAGTGAAGATCTCACAATAAAATGTGGAGTACCTCAAGGAACTCTATTAGGTCCACTCCTATTCATTATATACTTAAAAGAGATATTTTAAGTCCCAAAAAAGGTGGCCTTATAGCTTTCACTGATGAGACAAGTATTTCAATGACAGGAGTCTTGGGAGGAAGTGAGACTGAAGTCAGAGTACTTTTGCACCAAATAGTAACGTGGTTAAATAAAAATGTGTTGCTTATGAATGTAAAAAATGTGTTTATAACTTTTGGTATCTACGCTGACAGTGTACCTAAGAAGACCTCACTGAAGACAAATCTACAATATCTGAAGGTTATGAAAATGGAAATAGTTATTGTTTTTTTAAATACTTCATAAAGTCCTGAATGTTTCAACTAAAAAGAATTAATTGGTAACGTCAGGGAACTTAAGGTCTCCAAAGTCGCCTCTGAATTGCTAGCCTCTCAGTTAAAAGAAAAGAATTTGCTAGTACCTGGGACAAATATTACATTTTTTTGTCAGTTGGGAAAGGGTTTGCTCCCATTCTATACAACAGAAGAAACCCTCATGTTCTGCAAAGATTTGGAAGATATTTTTAAAAAAGTTGGGTTTACAGAATACAAGTCAGATGAAAAGTGACTTTTCACTGTCAGCTCCAGAAGTATTTTGACATGTGTTCTCTTACATAATGAAAACAAATACGGCTGTGTTCCAATTAATTGTTCATTCTGCATGAAAGAAGAAAAGGAGACAATTGATTTAGTTTAAAAAAGGATTGTACAGACATTGGGGATAGAATGGTTTGTTTTTCCAGTGTATATTATATACCTTTCTGGGACTCGCCAACAAGAAACTGAAGCATGGATGCTTAGGTTCTCAAATAAGAAAGCTCATAAATGATTTTCTTGAAATGCATGATTGTTATTGAATTGGGTGCCCGGTCTACTTTTGTTCTAGTTGTGAAAAAATTTCTAGCAAATCATAAATTGGAAAACTTTTCACAATTAGTAGAAACAACACTTTCTAATTTCTATGCACTTTGCAATTTCTACCTGCTTTCTATGCTGCAATAAGTATAAAAGGTCCATTACCAACATACCCACTTTGATTGCTTTCCTTCACTTAGTGTCCTAACTGAAAAGTAAGGATAAAGATTTCACCAAAGGAAGAGAGACACCAAGGATAATGGGATACACACATTGTGACAAAATACTGTTGAAGCATGCGAGACTCCTATTGCATTTCTCACTACAAAAACTCTATTTAAAAAAAAACAAAAAACTTTTGGGGTGTTTAATAGATGGTTTTGTCTATTTTTAAAATATTTCTATGAAAAATTATGGAATTTACAGTTCTCTACTGTAAACATTTCATTTATAAAAGCAAATTTAATTTATTTAAGAACAAATTAACAACTGTAAAGTAAATATTTTATGTCCATATGCCATTGATGCTCCCATATTCTAGCATACACAGTGTGAAAATGGCTTACATGAAGATTTTGTTTACAAAACTAGAGCTGATAGGACAAAAAAAAAACAATACGAAAAAATACAAAATTTTTTGAAACCGTGAAATTGACATACCCAGAAATAATTTTCATATCTGAAGCACCAAAATTAGTGCTATCCAGTGTAATTAACTGGAATAAGTAGAGAACCTTTGAACCTTATTTATGTGCTCAAAACTTTCAACAAAGAATTATCAATAATTCTTACTTTTTAATCTCCCAAGTCTTATTTAAAAAGATCTATTGTTACTTTCATTTTCATCATAATTGTATTGTTATTGTTATTATTATTATTATTATTATTATTATTATTATTATTATTATTATATCACAACCAAGTTGAGAATGATGTTCACAGGAATGTGCCACTGTCTTTGTTTACACTGGAAACAATAGAGATGGAGATATAAGGTTACTCAATTCAAATTAAAAATGGGGCAGTGCCCAATTGTTGCAGGGAAAAAAGCGCACTTTTGCTGCAAATCTAATCTTCCCAACGTATATTATCACTGTATTTGGACACTTCTGAACCTCTTGTTGGAATAAATAAAAATTTACTTCTCTCTGTAGAATGTATTAAAATTTTGATCAAATTTCTTTGATGAGCAGAAAATGTGTACTGTAACATGAGCAAAAATTGTTTAATTAAACTTGAGTAATTTCCAAATAAAATGATTTTTTATGGAAGCAACTATCACCTTAATGAAGAAAATTGTACTTATGTCAGTGACGTTTCGGTACTTTATGGCATACCTAGTAGATTGTATAGTCTGCTTAAAAAAGACAAATAAAGAAGAATACAAAAGGTTCGACAAAAAGTCAACAAAAATCAACAAAAAGTAGTAAATATGACCAAAAAAATTATAGTTTTTTATTATATTCTTGAAATAGAAAGATAAAAAGGGAAAAAAATATAACTTAACAAGACAAAAATAAAATAGTGAAAGATTTTATTTATTTAATAATATTAAGTTTATATATTAATGGGCAAATATCTTTAACCTTAATGTATGTACTTTATAGGGTTCTACCACAATGCTGCAAAACAACCTAAAAGCAGAAACAATAAATACAGACAGAATGTTGTCAGCATACTCCTCTTTATATTTTCCCACATTGCATGGCCTTATTTTCAAGTCCCAGACCAAATTCTGTTAAATTATTAATTCTTAAGATTGACAATTCTGCTTAGGATGTTCCAAGTTTGTTAGTAACATGTTCACTGATTCTTGTGTTTTCTGGTATAACAACATTATCTTCTCCCTACCACTTTTAATAGTACCGTGTAAACCATTTTTATTTGAATTAAGAAGTCTAGGACAAAGGCTCAGTTCCATGAGGTACTAGATTCACATAACTAAAATTCTAAACTATTATCACAAACTTTTTGGTACCTTGAAATAATTGATGTTTCATTCATAAATAAGAAAATGATACAATTAAACCTTTCTAGGCCGATCCAGTGGCCTAGGCAGTAGTGCTGTAGCGATCTTGTACCGAAAGATCGCGGGTTCGAGTCCCGCCTCTAGCATGGTTATATTGTGTTCGTCCTTTCACCCCTTATCATCTATCATCCTCCATCTCTCATTATCACCTTTCTGAATAACATTTAGAATTGTAAATCGAGGATTTATCCTCACCTCAAGGTGATACCTTCGACAGTTGACCATGAACAGTAAAAAGTGAAGTGGAACGACTCAAGTGGTCCAATGTGGCCAATAAAGTTAATAATAATAATAATAATAATAATAATAATAATAATAATAATAAACCTTTCTAGTGCATGTTGTGAATACTTCTTCCTGAAAATCAGAAATTTAATTCGTGTAAAAGTTTCATTAGGTGGGAAACCAATCAGATCTGAGAAAATGCAGTCAAAAGGACAGACAGCTATACTACATTTCACCAGTCCAGAAGAAAATCTTTGGATATAAAACTGGAAAGAAAACCAGTTATCAATGTAACATTATAATGTTCACTGAAATGTAGAAGGGATTTTTGTTTTGCTTCTCAAAAAACTGCATTTCTTGAGCCCTGATTACCAGTCCCCTTAAACAGAGGAGTCGAGCTCAAAAGTAATGTAGGGCTTGAGACGAAGTCAAATTCTGCAGAAAATACTTCGATAATAAACCATCTCTCAGAAAGTTTAATAGGTTGAATTAGTGAACCAAGTAAACCTTAAAGTATTCAAGTAATGCGAGTAAGCAGAAGATCCAAGTATTCCATTAAGCAATAAACAAATAACGAGAACGACAATGTTACACATCATGGAAGAACTTTTATCTTACAGACGGAATATTTTGGTAATGAAACCAGAACAGAAGAACAAGCACAAAAATAAAAAAATAAACACTTAAAATTATGGAATTCTTTTAGTTCTAATTGCAGATACAATAACACAAAGACACGAAAACAAAATTATGAAGTATCTAGTTTTCAATTGTCCTGAAGCATCCTTAGAAACATTCAATGCTAGTAATACTTCCGAAGAAATCCATTCATTGTAAAAACCATTAATACCATTTTGTTCTTACTATGATATAAAATTCAATTTGGAAATCTCACTACACATGATAAAAACTATACCTCTTAAACTTAATTTTTTTGAATATGAACAATAATCACAAATTAACATTTATTCTTTGATCTTATTTCCATGTTTATATTTCTTGTCTGGATCAAATTTTGTAGTGTTGAAAAATAATTGCAATAATATAAAAAAGGATCTGAAATTACTAAAGAAACACGGTTTATGACAAGTGCACTCTTTTAGAACTTCGCACATTACAAACCTACAAACTAATTTATCTCATAAAGAGGCCCTTTGAACGGTAGTTTGTATCTCAGTGGCCTTACAAGAGGGTGGTTACAACAAAAAAAGGTTGGGTACAAAAGAGTCTTAAAGCAACTTTTAACTTACCTGGCAGGTGTAGCAATAATATTTCATACTTTCTGTAGAGTGAATTTCACAAAAAACAGGCTTATGTATAGGAACAGCTTCGTGAGAGTTCCGTATGTCCTCGAAAGCAACAACATGGTGATTCTCAAAACAACGCATGAACTGAAAAGTATAATAACGCATGAACTAATAATAATAACAACAATATATATTATTCAGATTATCAATTTAGTTTATCAAGTATTCCTTTATTTGTAATTGTTCTCTACTTTTACATCTCTATATCATGACTATTGGCTCATCAACGAATAAGGAACAATCTTAACTTTCACATCCTTCACAGATGCACGAAAACTAATGAACCGGATAAAATATATTTTCTTTTTGAAATATGTAATTTATTAATAAACTAATGTTAACATTAAAATACTTTTCTGTAGATCAAAGTTGTATTTTGATTTAAGGAATTTAGTGGATCTTGCAATTTGTCTGTCAACAGCACTCGTGGAAATTCAGAATAAATATTTCTCCCAGGATTATATCAATAGGAAATTCGATAGGTTTCAGCTGAAGGTACCCATGTTTAATAATCAATTTAACTTAACAAACAGAATTTCTGATTGAAATCTGAGCAAGTTAGAAAATTTACCATAATGAAAATTATAAAGAAATCTGCAACCACCTAACCAAATGTGATCCACATTTCTTGGGTTTTGTTGTAGACCCATTGAAGATGGGCAAGTTTTCCCAAAACCTCTGGAATTAATTTTTAATGAATATTAAAAAGTATTTTGTGATTTGATTATTTCTTTATTCATATTCAAATTTTTTTATCACACTATTGACAATGTAATACCAAACTACTACATTTCTGATTTAACAGACTGCACCGGGATATGTAAAGTACAATCGCTAACCAAAGCAAATTGAGTCACTAAATCAATATTTAAGCATTATCAATTTCCAATTTTTGACAAAAAAATCAGGTCACTACTTGTCTGTTTCCAATAATTGAAATTCATAAAAATGAAGATAAACCAGTAGGTCAGAAAAGATACCAAGTATCCCAACATGTAGAAAAAATTCAGATCTAAAATCTGTATGCTGTTATTTCAAAGAATATCATTACCTGATGTGCTGTGTTGCAATTAGGGCACAGGAAATTAGCACAATCTGAACATCGCGCAACTGCTTTCTCCTTGGCCTTGCAACTAGTGCACAGAACTGCCATACTCTCAATTGCAGACATATCTAAGATATTAGCAAGAACATAATCACAAGGCAGAGAGCCAGCACCTTTAGCTCCCACCTGTGAAACATTTAAAATTAAAATGGTGTCTTAGAGACAAGTCATTATCTACATAATTAAGACAATAGTATTACCATTTTCAATCTGAACAATCAACATTTTATTTTAGTTCTTAATCCTTTGCACATTCACATACTTGCACATAAAACCTGCTTAACAATGCTATCATGCACGGACTGTTGGTCGACACAAAATTATTTTTCCTTTTAATATCTCAGATCTCGGAAATCATGTGATTTTAGTATCTTCCTACAGTTTTAAACAATTCATTCATTTCAGTTTGATCACTACAGTGATATCATGACTTATCAGCAACTGTGACTCCCAGTCCAATACAACTTCTGGGGTTACATGGTTTGTGCAGAATGTTTATGTAAGGAAAATAATAGGTATGCGAGTGACAAAGTGTAAACAGATAAAGTGTGATGTACAGCATTCATTTCTTGGAATCCGATTTGTTTAAAACAGTTTGTCCCCCCCCCCCCAAATGTTATGCAAACTTTGAAATATTTCTCTACACATAAGTGACAAAACGTGCATAACATTACTAATTTTTTCATTAAAATATGTTTACCACTCCACTGCCTTTCTCGTTTCATATCTAGGCTCAATTATCACTTTGTCTTTATCTTCTTTTGGAAGCACATGGACTTAATCTGCCATAAATACCTATATTTTAAATAACGGCCTGTCTCAATATAACAAATTATACTACTGTAGGATAAATGTTATAGAAGGTTAGGACTCCTCTAACTTAGCCTCGTATCATCATTTGTTTCTCTACTTCCAGGGCTGTTTGTACATATAACTGGTTATTTTGAGAGTACAGAAAAGATGTCATGGCAAAAACGTGCTCGTTTACAAAAGCCAGCTGAATGAACCTCAGGATTACCCTGAATACAACATCGCCTGATAAACCCCCACAGCTGTGCTGAGGTTTGAACCCAGGCACCTGGAGTTAGCTAATGTCTCTCCGAAACATAACACTGCCATGACTCTTACAACATTTTGAATTTTTTTAATTACTTTCATTTCATCAATATTTATTTGCCTTCCCTAAGCACCTTCATTTATAAACTGATTTCATGTAAAAATACTAAAATTTAAACCTTCCTTCTCCTCTGTATTTTTACAACATGAAAGCTCCACTTAACACGAAACTACATGTTACTAACATGACTATGTTAGAAACTAACATGAAGAATGTAAGTGGCCAATTTACGTAAAAAAAAAGTCTACAAAAGCCAAATTAAAAAGACCAACACAATAATTACATTACACCTAACACTATAATAAAAAAAGAATGCCTTTCACAAAAAAAATCCAATGTCAACAGCTCTTTTGAAGAGTTTAAAATTGTAAATAATAAATCATTTTAGCAAATCATACCTTAGTTTCTTGTTTACATTTGGGACATATGATGATACTATCACTCTTGCCAGAATCACCTGCTTCATCAATAAGCTTTTTCTCCAGACATGACTCGCAAAATACATGCAGACATGATAGAACTCGAGGACTGCAGTACTTAGCACTGTAAAATAAATTTCATAAGAACATTATACGATTATTTGGGTAAAGAGGATCCAAAACAGTACATTACATGTACAGCGAGTACAATGACCCAATCAACTATAGCTAATATATAAAACAAACTTTATTTGGTTAATTTGAATGGGGCTAATCTTTACATTGTAAAAAACAATTAAAGTGGTAACAAAAACATGATTTTTATATTTCTATGGAATACTAATTATAAGTATTACCTGCAAATATTGCATATTTGATCCCGGTTTTCAGACGGACTAGATTCTTCCAATGGGCTTGGACTTCCATATGGACTTGCATAACCATCACCAAATATACCCAAATCATTTTCATCACTGGATTCTCTCTCCATGTTTAAATAGATCTGGTTATAAGTGTGAGTTACAAAATAATATAATTTTTTACACCTCGCTAAGTTTATTAGTTGGTGCTGACTTCACCTATAAAGAAATTGCATGAATTAAATACGCTTATATGTTAAAAAGCAAATTAGATACGATACATTCGACAACATATCAAGTTGTCATTTTGTGTCCTTGAGAATGTCTATTCCACACTCGTGTATTAATAAATCGCCATACACCTTCTTTATGCTACAATAAAAGACACCGATGATGATCTTACAGTTTAAGAAAATACATGATTCGCGTACATAAATCCTATGCGCACCAGAGTCGAGCAAAATCTTCACCGGATTATCAACAAACGGCTAGTACCAGAGGTCACGACTGAGTTAACAGCATACCGATAAGTACTTAAGAACCGATTTCACAAACCTAGAGAAAATACACGTACACTATTTAAAAGCATAGTTATATATGATTTTAAGTACACACTTACATGATTCTTCACAGTTTTGTATCTACGACGAAAAAACTCATCAGAGCCATGGCAAATGGCGCGAACCTTATGCAGTACATAGAGCGCTTTCAGTGCGATGTTTCCGAACTCACGATCACCCAGTGAACAAATGTAGGTGCTCACCAAAGATGTCTGAATTCGTATTAACTTTGCAAGAAAATATTTGGAAATATTTTTTAACTTAACTAATAACATAGCATTTTCGCTCCCACTCACGAAAATAGAAACTGCTGTCTGTAAAGTTTAAAACACTGAAACGCATCCAAGCTACCAACAACCAATGAGATTTCTCCCACGGAAAATAGGTGTTCGCAAAGAAGCAGAAATTGTAGTCGGCTGCCAGTAGTTACAAAATAAGTATTTTACTGTAAAATAAATCGATACAGGTAGAACACTTTTACCAGATATGTGCTATTTAAACAATGGTCCACAGCAAGTGTGTTTCGTGTTAATTACCCTCTCAGTATCTGAATGTATCGAGAGTTCACGAAGCACAAAGGCCAATTCAATAGAGAATGGTAGTGTTCTTAGTTATTCGGAATGAATAAGTATACTTACTCAACACTATACAATATGTATTGCTGTAAAGAAAGTTCTAAAAGCAATATATCTCCAGAACCTTAACACCAAGAAACGTGCTCTTATTACTGGACCTATTGTTGCTTCAGTTGAACAAAATATATGGACGTTAAGAGATCACAAGGTTTTCAGCTGTCAAAACAATTGAAATAGCGAAAACATAAACGATATCGATTTGTATCCAATATACATTTGTTCATATAATTGAACGTTTTCATTTCCAACAGAAAAAAATTAAAATTTCAAATTAATATTATGTACGCTTTACCGAAGAAGTGCAATATTTTTTAATACAACACGAATTCATTTTTTGCTTATTAGGATTATCTTTGTTGAACAAAGTTCAAACTATTAAATGCTATAATCAGACTTTCTTGGTGGAACTTCACAAGCTCCGAGTTCAGATTTGCCTCGCTTTCATAAATCGATAATTCTGGCAGAGTATTCAAATGTCCAATTTGTGCAGACAATGTGGCATTGAACAAAAGTAAAAACACAAATCTTGAGAGGAAAATCACCAGGAACGTAGATAACTGATGAAATGTTAAGGCAATTATATTATTAAACACCAAATTTTAAAGAGTATTTCGATCCGGCGCCGGTAGGTAGAGAAAAGACTAAACAATGAACCGACATAATGTCAAAAATTGATACGAAAATATGTTTCAAGAATGAATAGCAATTACTGAGGAGCGCTCCTGTTCAACCTGTACTTCTACAGACATTCCTATCGCCATTTATTTTGAAAGTCGAGGAGTACCAGAGCAATTTATATTATATATATTGAACTTTCTATTCCATTTTTGCTGGAGGGGTGAGATGGGAGAGACGAAGAGAGAGAAAGGAAGGAAGATGAAGGGCAGAACAACGTCTGCCGGGTTCCGCTTGTTCCTAAATAAATTGGTGTAGCCACCTTTATGTTTTCTCAGTATTAAAAATACTTTTTCAAAATATCAATAAAAATTATCAAAGAAATGGAAGGAAGGGAATGTATGGATATTGTTTGTGGATATATTTTTGGGTGGACAATGTGTGGATATATTTTTGAATTTATATTAAAGATTAATTTTAACAAAATTTCAAGTTTTTCGCTCATCCTAAAAATACAAGAAATAAATGAAATTATCTTTGTTGATTGTCCCAGTTTATATAAGTAATATTTTTCTTCATCCTTTCTTATTCTAGACAATGGAAACGTCTATTGTTAAAATTTGCGACGTATTTTGTAGGTTTAAACTTAAAGTAATATGTTCATCGTTTCAAATATAATTGTTTTCACCATTGGTTACTTGGGAAATAGCTAAAAATGTACAATCTAGTAGTTAAAATTGCACTAATAGGGATCAAGTTAGTACGTTAAAGTATGCAACCTGCAATATTTGGGCGAATGTTATCCTCAATTAGAGAAAAGTGCTTGTAAACATAGCGCGGAAGCTAGTTTCACTAAAACATGAATTTGCAATATTGATAATGTTTAAAATATGTTACATGCCTCCTACAACAATATTATTGATTTTTATTTTCTCGCATACTGCTTACGTACCATGAAGACTATACGACCTTAGTCTTCATATTTCGTAGTATATAACTAGTGGAGCTAGATCAACGCATATTTTCTCGCTTCTTTCTAAGATTGCGATTTGCGATTTTTTAAAGTTCATAAAGTTCAACGCAAATTAGACCTGCACCATATTTTAAGCGTCCTTAATTTTTATAAAAGAAAAAAGTTAAAAGAAAACATTTGGAGCCGTTCGTTAGAAACGTTTCATAAATTATATTACTATCAGGAATCAGCCAGGAATTACGCCAAAACTATTTTGTTGTTTTTCAAATAGTGTACATAAGCTTACTTAGAGATCTAATTGTTTTGAACAGATTCTATTTTTAAGCAAAAACACCTCATAAATATTATTGCAATGTTATTTTTTTGAAATTTTAAAAAACCACAGAGATCGACGAAAATGCAATCAGCACCACATTTTACTAACAATCCCTTGCTACATACGAGGATAATTTAAAGAGAACTGGGAGAGGGTTTCACGAAAAATGACTGTTTAAAAAGGCCAATATTTAACTCACAATTACGCGAAAACTACTTATATTTTCGAAAATCTCTATATTAAATTATTTAAAGATCTGTCTTTTAACAACAGATTTCATTTAGGAAAAATTTCTATCCTCAATACTGTAGTTACAGGAAGACGCTAACAAATTCTGAACTTGGGCAGTTTTCAAAAAATCAAGGATTTCTATGAAAGGAGACTTGCGGCATTTTTTAAGCGACCTTTATATGTATGTATGTATGTATGTATGTATTTATGTATTTGTGTACTTGGCGCGACAACCCGTGAACGGGCTCAGGCCTACCGAGACGCAGGTAGTCTTGGCTCGACCAGGAATCGAACCCAGGGAAGCAACCTTTACCGAAGAAAATATTTAATAAACAATTTGGAGCTATTTTTGAGAAAAGTTTGAAAATTAAATGAGGCTTCATGTAATGTACCTCCAATATCAAAATATTCGTTTCAAATCCGCAGAGCCGCGAGCTTCTTCAGATCGATCAAGGAATATCAATTTTCGAGAAAATTGTTTGAACGTTTTAGGCTCTAACGTTGACCACGGACGGTCGGACCGAAACACCAACACACACACACACACACACACACACACACACACACACACACACACACACACACACACACAAGCACACATACACACACACATGTTTTGCCGTCAATCGATATTTTGGTTATCAAGAACTCACAAAACCTAATTCTAAATACCCAATGTGTTGACGAGAAAGTCATATATTACTTATAAGATAATTATTTACCCACATTTTAGTTGCCAGGGGTTGACAATCAGAGTTATTCCGTCGAAAAATCGCGTTTTTCACCACCTGGTCTCTGTTGCAAGCTAACAATAGCGTTGGCATATGTTTCCTCATTTCACTACAGGCACCCCCTCAGCTACTTCACCGATGTAATGTATCAAATGTTCGACTGTTCAAAGAATTAACTGCCCCAGTCGGGAATCGAACATTAATAATAATAATAATAATAATAATAATAATAATAACAACAACAACATTGATTTGTAAATGGATATTTGACGTGATTTTAAAATAGTATTTTGGATGGTAGCTTTTTACTGGTAGCTACCGTACATATATTTATCAATTACACAGGCACACAAAAAAGTTACCAGACCCAACGACTTGACACATGTATGTCTATGTATGTCGACGCGCTGAATGCGAATGTGAAGCCAGAATTGCGCCAACACCCTCCAGTTTTTTTAATAATAATAATAATAATATAATAATAATATATAATATTAATAATATAATAAAAAATAATAATTAAAATAATAATAATAATAAAATATAATAATTAATCAAAATAATAATAATAATAATAATAATAATTAATAATAATAATAAAATAATAATAATATAATAAAAAAACGCAACTTGTAAATTCATGTTCAAAATTATAAATGTTTCACGTCTTTGGGTCTGACAACAACGTCTGAAAACAGAAAAAAATACAATGTCACGGTGGTGTTTTTTAACTGGAGGGTGATGGCGAAAATCTGGCTTCAGATGCAGCGCGTCGACATACTCGTACATACAGAAACACAAGCCAAGCATTTGGCTCTGATAATTTTTTTTATTTTTATTTTGTGTGCCTGTGTTATTAAACTCGCCCATCCTTTTCTCCCGCCCCCGCACTCAGCCTGCCCGTCTCGATCGCTTCATCCGTTTGGCCATCCTGCTCATCCAACCTGCCCTGCCCCCTTCGACTGCACCGCTCGCTTTGCCCGCTCTACTTCGACCGCCGCTCTACCCGCCCCGCCCTTCCCTTCCTATGCTAACCTTGCCCTCCCACTCGGTCTGCTCGCTCACCAATTTCTTTGCCAAGGCCACCCCCTTCCCACCCTATAGTAGCGATAACAGGGGCGTTTTACCCACAGAGTATCTTTTCCCCATTGTACCTATACCAACCTTTGTTGAAATTACCCTATTATCTACAGATATGCTGAAACATATATTTAAACACATCTTAATATTATATTAATTTCACTTACATTATTTCACAGAGACTCTTCTCTTTACGTAACTTATTTTATTTTATTTGGAGAGCATTTTGAATTTACCTCCGTAATAAAAATATTTCCGGAAGAAAATGGGTCTAGAATGTGACCAGATAGTGTCTTGTATATGACCAATATTTTCTTTAGCGTAATTGACACCGTTATGAACATTAAAAAAAATATTGATGTCAAAATCAATACAGCGAGTCAAGATTTGGTAACACGGAACTTACCATTAAATATGCTTCTCCTCCACATCCGCGTGGGCTCACGCACGTGACTTCTTGCTCTGCAAAACTTATCAGAATACTTTGAACTCTTTTCTTCCGTTTGCTCGCTTTTCCACTTGCTTCCGCTTTCTTTCAACGTTTTGTTTTGTGTAAATTCGCATTTGAGAACAGTAGTAAATGAAATCCTGAAACACATCAGATGAAGAAATAAAACAATGTTAATTATGACAACTGAAGTACGATATTTTGACAACTTTAATTCGGTAGGCGGTGGAAAGGCATTCT